GTACCGAAGCCTCCCATTGTATATCCTCCACCTGTGGTTCCCAAACCACCCATTGTGCAACCTCCACCTTATGTACCGAAGCCTCCCATTGTATACCCTCCACCCGTGGTTCCCACACCACCCATTGTGCAACCTCCACCCAACATCCCCACTCCTCCTGTGGTGACGCCACCATACTCTCCAACACCACCTGTCAATCCACCATCGCCACCAGGTGAAACCCCGTGTCCTCCACCACCACCGCTCTTGCCATACCCGCCACCACCAGCACCAGAGACTTGCCCCATTGACACACTGAAGCTAGGCGCGTGCGTGGATGTGTTGAGCGGGCTGGTCCATATCGGCATCGGCAGTAGTGCTAAGGACAAATGCTGCCCCGTGCTACAAGGGCTAGTGGATTTGGACGCTGCTGTGTGTCTTTGCACCACAATCAAAGCTAAACTTCTTAATATCAATATAATCATCCCCATCGCTCTCCAAGTCCTCATTGACTGTGGCAAAACTCCACCCCCAGGATTCCAGTGCGCATAATAATTCATATTTAGGTACTAAAATCATCTTTCGTCCACCTTAATTAATTTACTGTCATAATCTCTGGGTCATTAAATTATTTATTTACATTTTTTTAATAGATCTGGGTCATTAATTTATTGATCCGTCTGTTCCACAATATTTCTTTTTTTTTCAATACCTTTTCTTCTATTTTAATAAATTTATAGGTTAGATTGTATTTTTAACGTACAGAATAACTTATAAAACAAAGATTTCATAATATATCATTTAAAAATATAAATTTATATATATTATAATTAATTAATTTTAATTAATATTTTCCATATTTTTAATATTTTTAATTAATACCAACTATGTATTGATTCAACTAAAAGGAGTTTGGTTTTTCCTAAACAAGACTTCGAGTTTAAGGTTTCGAGTTTAAAGCTTCGAGTTTACAATTTCAAGTTTAAATCATGTGAATGAGAATACAAGAGTTGAGAGGAGCTTTCTCTTTATGGGGTTCAATGCAATTCGATTCTAAATTAATTAGGTCTAATATAATTTCTAAATGTTAAGGGGTTAGTTAAAAAATATATTTTTAATTAATAAATATTTTATATTTTTTGGATAAAAAGAAAACCGACAGCAAAATAGCATACTAATCCTAACTGAAGCCTAAGCTTCCTTTAATCTACCAACCTTTCATATTTAAGATACATGTATGTAAAATCTGAAAATTAAAGTTAAAAGTTAATTAATTATTAGTCTTGAGTGATCAACTATACAAATATCACATCTATCTTTGTTTGGTGGAACATGTAGCATACACTTTTCACTACCTAATCCCAAACTCAATAATTCTTTTAAATGAATTCTAATAAAAAAATCATACTTTAGTTATTTAATTTGAAACCTGAAATCAGATTTCACTATTTTGTTACTGTATTTCAAGTCTTGGCTAGCTAGCGTTTCTAAATATTGACGAAGGTGATTTTAATTTTGGTAATGGTTGCAGGGCATGTAGTAGATTATGTGAGCACATTTAACAGAAAGCTACAAGTGAAAGAGTCTTTTAAGACGATCAGCACTTTATCTTTTGTTCTTCTGGATGTTTCTGATTGAAGTGTGTAATGGTATGTTTTGTTGTCTAATGGTGCAAGAATCAGTTGATTAAGAAATTCACGTGCGATGTTTTGTGTAACAAAAAGCTGCCCTCTTTTTTCCCTGTGTGTCTTATTGGAATTCCCCATCTAGAAAGAAATAAAGATGAAAAAAAATGGAAAACACAGTTGTTTTCGCTTGTGTTTTTCACTGCTTATTTTCTTTTGGTAAGAAACTAATATTCATTCCCTGTTCATACATTTTAGAAATTTCTCATGAGGGAGACGTCTCAGGTAGGACTATATAAAATCGAGCTGAACAGAGTATCAGAATGTTCAAGTTTGAGCTCGATCGTCTTTACAATAATGATCAACCTTGAGTTTTTGGCGAGTTCTGAAAATGGAGATGATGAACCTGGATCAAACATTTTGCGAGCTTCTCTATTTACTCGCGATTTAAATAATCAAAAAAAAAATTAAGTTATATAATTTTATTAATTTTTTATCATAAAGGAACTATTCTACAGTAGCGATATATTGTGAGCCTGATATAAAAGCTCGAGATCTACTCAGTTAATAAACAATATGAACTTGAATCGAACCTAAATCAAGCAACTCTTAGGTAACCTGCTCTCAGTTCAGTTATAGTCTGGGTTGTGTTTGGTACCACTCTTCTATAGCTTTTATTTTT